CCCCCTAAGCGCTATAAATGAAAGCCCCCTAATCTTTGCTCTAGAAGCGAGAGAATGCGCACACACTTATACTACGTTATCTTGAGCCAAGCAGAGTATTTACTCAAACAAAATCCTTTTAAAGCCCAAGATAAAAAACTGCTTTTTCACGACGTCGACGAAATGGGATCAAATATACTGCACTATGCTGTGGAAAGCGGTGATCTGCAGGTACGCATGCGTTACATCGTTTATAACGATTCAATTGTAGTAATGACTTGACAAAGCTATTCTAACTAACGTGTTTCATTGCGTAGGTTGTTGAAATGTGCCTTCGGCAAGGAGCTTGTCCTCGACAAAAAAGGGTGCGTGTGTAGTCTTACATAGTATCCTACGCAGCGTCACGCAACGCTAACTTCCCTAAGTGATTGAGCGTTGCGTGACGACACTAATAACGGCTGCTTAGGAGACTAAGTCTTATGTTATTATACTTAGATTTACAAATAGACCTTATTCGTCGTGGCACAATATTTTTCCTATTACAGACCCTAGTGTCATTCTCTTGAGAATAATATTCTTGGTTTGAGTGGAATCCATATTCATGTGACCTTTTATGCACAATCGTTAAACAAAGAAATGATACTCTAGGGAATGACACGTGGTCTGTAATGGGAAAACATTACGCACAAGGTAAAGAGGTCTGTTGCCTTAATCACCTCGGTTCACCGACMTGCAAAGTACGATAGTTGGTCCAGTGCACTTCTAATATTGTAATACCATTCTTGGGGTTCATATTGGGTGATAGCCGCCTTGTTGGTTGACGATAACAAGGTATTCTGCATTAGATTATCTTGTTAGAGGAGCTAATGACACCATCAACCAACATGGCGGCTGTCTCATTGTTATTTACATCTCAAGGGATTTTATTGATAGATTTTATCTCACATGTTTTAACCAGGTTGAGGACGAATGCACACCATTACATCTGGCGTGTAGTCGTGGCTATCTCGACATTGTCAAAGCCATTGTAAATAATGACCCGACGATTATGACAATGGAACTAGTGGAAGCTCAAGGGATGACACCATTACATAGGTGGGCAGGATAGCGCTCTTTCTTACAAAATAAAAGGGATTTACGTACAATTTGAATGCTAGTCTGCTCTATCAAATTCTCTATAGACCCCTTGCATGTGGCGCCAATGCAGGACGATCTGGGGGACAAGACGAAGGGATTCCAAGATCCCAGATTGAGCTGCATTCTGGCCAACTGCAAGGGGTTTATCAAACCTGGTTCTCATTAGCAAGGCAAGCCGACGCAAGCATAAACACGAACACAAGCGCAAGCTAACTAAAAAATAAAATCTTGCGTTCTCTTGCGCTTGCGTCACCTCTTTTAATAGTGAGAATATGAAGTTGCGTCGGTTTGCTTCACTAGTGACAACCAGGCTTTACGCATCATGTTGTGCCACATTTCGTGAAACCACGTGACTCTGGTAAAAACATAGACTTCAACTGAGTCAAGCCCGGTTTTGCGGGGTCAATGGATGGGTCACCTAAACCAATCTTGAAAAGGTGTGGAGCTTTGCTATTTTGATTCAGAAGTGTTGCTATTCTTATTCAGGGCCGCTTTGGGAAATCACTCCGAGATCATTAAATTTCTCATCGAGAAGGTGAGCAAACCTATTTTAAAAAGTTATCAAAAATAGACCCTTTTCAGCTTGAGCGTTGTGTTTCCCACTTTTAGCTACGTTTCATTCATTCTTGAATCATCGATCATCATCTCTCCTCACGCTAAGATGCACATAAGACCGTCACACTATTAGCCCAACCCGATCAGCCCAGAGGTTGTTCCAGGGCTAGATCTGTGAGTTAAACGTGTCTTGACATAGATCAGCCCAGGGGCTCCTCCAGGGCTAGATCTGTGAGTTAACCGTGCCCTGACTTAGATCAGCCCAGAGGCTGCTCCAGGGCTAAATCTGTAAGTTAACCATGCCCTGACTTAGATCAGCCCAGAGCTTGTTTCAGGGTTCGATCTGAGTTAGTCGTTTCCTGACTTAGATCAGCACAGTGACTGTTTCAGGATTCGATCTGTGAGTTAGCCGTGCCCTGTTTTAGATCAGCCCAGAGCTTGTTTCAGGGTTCAATAAAATTTGAATGCCTGTCCGGACATAAATATAGCCATCCATCCAACATGGCTGTCGTGTAAGAAAAGGCCCAAAAAAATCTTTCTTATCATGTCTTTTAGGGTTCTGCTGTGGACCCACGTGACTTTAACTGTCACACGCCATTGTTGTTAGCATCAGCCAATGGTTGCACATCATCAGTCCAAATCCTTCTGGAGAAAGCTGCAGATATAGCGTTAAAGGATTCGAACCTTAAATCCTGTCTTCATGCTGCAGTTGGATACAGTACAACCTTGGTTATTTTGTTAAAGGTACATATTCCTGTTGCATATGAAGTGTTAGCCGCCATTTTGGTTGACTTTGAAGTCTGTGGAATTTTATAACAATGCATGGTGTTGTACAAGTTGTAGATTCTTTCAAGAGAGCATGAATAAGAGAGGGAATTTTCTTAATAACGCGCGCGCCATGGATGAAGTTAAAAAAAAATGGTCCTTTTTTCACGAGGGTAGTACTTAATAGCCAGTGGCTAACAAACCTGTGGCCCGTCATTCCATGATCGAATTGGAATTTAGGAGTTGATTTTTGCGGAGGGAGGAAAACCGGAGAACCCGGAAAACCCTCGAAGCACAGGAGAGAACCAACAAACAACTCTACTCATATACAACACCGAACCCGGCGGGACTCGAACTCGGGTCGCATTGATGAGAGGCGAGAGCTCACACCGCTACCCCACCCGTGCTTCCCAAATTTCGCCTTACATTACTCCTGTGCGTCATCAACTTGCGCACGCGCGCTTTTTCCGTTTCGTTTTTAGTATTCAAAACAATAATAGCCCAACTGTGAATTTACATGGTGCACGCGTTATTAAGAAGTTTCCCTCTCTTATTTATGCTCTCTCGATTCTTTATATTACTGTGGACTTTTGCAAATGATTTGCTCTTAATTAAATAAGGCTAATGTAGAGTGCACGCACTAAAACCGTGAACATTAATTAGTACTATTTCATACAGAATCCTTTGTTTTCTATTGTCTAATTATCATTATTTAGTGCTAAAAATTAGTACACCTTTTGCTGTTCATTAACAGAAAATGTACATTCATGTGTGCCAATAGTTGTATCAATAACGTGTAATGTACTTTCATCAACACCA